TGACAAAACTTATTGTTTCTCACATTTTAAAATTGCTGGGAACTCTCATTCCTACAATATTTTACCTTAGTTTTTGTGACAATAAAAAATTATGGCATCTTATCCAAAATATTTTGTATGGAAAATGACAATTTTTATTTTAAATTATGGTTGGTGGATGGTGGAAAACAAAGTGGCAGTTTATATTATTGATTTACTATGGAATGAATCATTTTTCCAAGACTTTTGGAAAAAAAACCCAGAGTCGTAGTATGTACATGGAGGGGTAGTTTAAGGATGGTTGACTGTAGAACATTGGAAGATTTGAACTGTGTTAAATTTTAAAAACTGATATACTGTATTCTATTTTACACAAGGTATTTGAAGTATGATTTTGACTATAGTATTAGTACAGATTAAAATTTTTTTTACTCACATTTTAACATGAAATATTTTAATATACAATAAAATGAATATTAATTAATATAATTAATCATATGAAACAAATAAATGCAAATTAGCTTAATGGATTACATAACGTAAAGCTCTGTAAAACTTACATATCTGTACAATCTTTAAAAAATGAATTTTACTTTTAGTATGAGTTTTTAGCCATAAAAATTTGAAAATACATTTAATGAACTTAATGAGTATATGTATATATGAATATAGTATTTAAAAGTGGGTTTGATTTATCTAACAATTTGAATTAACGAAGTTCAAAAGATTTGACAGTAATTATTAATTTTTATTACTACAATATTAATTGTACACATATAAAGAACAAAAAATTTATGTTATTCTATAGGATATTACAGATAAAGTTGTTTAAAGTCTATAATAATAAATTTATTAATTTTGTCATCTGCTTAATATTGTATATAGTTTTAAACTATTCTATATAATCTCAGAACTCATTTGTTTCATGAACATTTTCTTTCTTTTAATTTTCCAACAGGTTGCACTTTTATTTCACAATGTCTTTTAATAAATTTATGCATCCTCGTAATATTTATCGCAATCCCCCAAATTTTAAAGAATTGTCAATAAAATATCCAGAATTTCGGCAATTTGCAATTCAGGATTTAGCTGGAAAAATAAGAATTGATTTTAAAGATCCTAATGCATTGCGTATGTTAACGACAATCTTGTTGAAGAATGATTTTCAGTTAAGTGTTGAAATTCCACCAGATCATCTCATTCCTACTTTACCCCAAAGATTAAATTATATTTTGTGGATTGAAGACTTACTAGAAAGTTTTCCAAAGCAAAAAGATGATATTATTGGAATTGATATTGGTAAGTAAATTGAATTCATCTAATTCATTACTTTATTTATTTATTTAACTGATATTTAGTAAAAGATGCAATTGTCACCAAAATATCCAATCATAAATTCATTCCAGCAACACATCCTCATATTGATACTTTTGATCCATATTTCTATTTTTTAGTTCATTCAAGTATAAATTAATAGCAATAATATTCTGCATATCATAAAGAAAGGAAAAATTCAGATTATCACATAATCTGCATAACTGGCTAAATCAACCACAAGTATACATATTTGTTTAGTTTTCTTGACTTAAAATGTATTCCCTTTGAAGTATTTCAAATATCAAATACTTATGTTAAATATTTGAAAACACAAATACTTGAACCTCTTTGTGAAAGTTATTTCAAATAAAATAACTAAAAGAATTTGAAATAAGAATTGAAATATTTTTATTTGAATTACCATTCAGCTCTCTTAGCATTTATGAAAGCACCTCTGATATACAGTGAAACCTTCATTAATGGACACTCCTGAATAGTGGACACCTCTACTTTACGGACATTTTTACAATCCCCAGACCCTTTAAATAAGATATCTATTATATTCATCTCTAAATAGCAGACACTCTAAATAATGGATGCCATCGTCCATAACCCACCCACCTTACAAAAACACAAAGGTCCCACCTTCAATATTCTGAAATAATTAATTACATACAAAATATTTTAAAACAAATAAAGAATCAGTTCAAATACTGTTTCAGAGGAAGAATTTTGACCATAGACTTTGAATAAACACTGGCTAAAAATGAGAATAGGGGAGGAGGAAAGCAGGTTGTAAAAAGCCAAACAATACTCTTTATCTGCTAGAAAAAACTAATCTGGTTAAGTTGTTAATCACCATTTATTTTTATATTAATGTTATTAAACTTCTGTCTTATTGTTGGAATTAAGCTTATGGTACCAAGAAACCATAAACTCTTCCTGAGTTATTCATTCCTTCAACAAGAACCATAGTACAGTAGTAATGAAAAAGAAACAGTTTTAAGGTTAAGACAACAGTGTTTATTTGGTGAAAGTTCAAAGATCATGTTACAAAGGCAATTTGCTGACCATTTTAAAGTGAAGGAAGATATTCGGTTTTCTAGAATTCATTACGCAATTTATGATTTTAACAGCTTTGTGGTGGTTAAAGTAATTTTTAATAAATCATTTATTGAAAAAAGCAAAAATGTTCAAAAAATTACACTTACTCAATAAGGCCAAGACTCCACTACCGTAAAAATGGTGTAAAACCCCTTGCCGTAAAATATTTTACGCCTGAGCAGGTTGTAAAATATCATGGTCATGTGATTCAAAGCTTTTACAGTGAGGGGTTTTATGTCCGTTTTTACTCTAGTGGAGTCTTAGCCTAACTACAAAGCAGATAAATCCCTGTATCAATTTTTATTAGTTACTTAGATCATAAATGACATTATGAATGCAACAATACCAAACACATTTCTTACCCCTTGAAGCAGCTAGCAAATTGCCTTTTTAACTGAACATTCTAACTCTGCTTAAACTGACTTTCATCCATCTTACTGTTCACAACAATTTCATTTTTCTTTTTCATTACTTCAGCTCAAATTGTTTTTGATGAATTAATAATTAATCAACATTTACATTTTGTCATAATTTTTATGTTCTATTTAATTAAAGTATCCAATACAATCTGTTTGTTATTTAGAATTCAACTGAAATGTGATTTTTACAGCTGAAATAATATACTGTATATGTGTTTTACTCATATACAGTATATTATTTCATGTGAAAATACCAAAAAGTATATGTAGCATATATAATTTATGCTACATATACTTTTCGGTATTTTCACATTCCTAATGCAAATTTGATGTTTTTGTAATCCATTGTATTCTTCAATTTATAATAATTAGGTTAAAATACAGTATGGCTGCCGACATGTACCTCTAAATAGCAGACAAACTTCTTGATCCTGATGGTGTCTGCTATTTGGAGGTTATACTGTATGTGTTAGAATTTATTCTAGCTTATATATCAGAGATACAATACATCTGTTGAGTTATTGGCATTACCTTAGGAGATCAAATTTTATATATAATTTGTTTAAAATTTTCTATTAGGGGCAGTCAAATGAAAACGAGACAGACTATATAACAAGTGTGGCACGGAAGTTGGTAATGCAGGTAGGTGTGTGTATAGAAGTGCCCTCAATTGGGAATCAGGAAGGAACAGCATGAATGTTCACTACTGTGCCATTTGTCTGTTAGACGTGCTCAAAGTGAGGTTGGCGAGTTGTGTGTGCGTCCGACATCACTATGGAGGCCCGCTGCTTGTTGACTTTCTGGAACACAGCGCCACATTTAACGCACAGCGGTACATGGAAACTTTGCAAAAATTGAAGCGTGCCATTAAATCCAAACACCCAGGAATGTTGACAGACAGTATCATTCTGTTGCAGGATAATGCCTGCCCACATGTTACCAAGGTTGTTTCGACTACACTTCAGAAGTTTCTCTAAGAAGCCATTACACATCCTCCATACAGTCCTGATTTATCCCCATGCGATTTCCATAGTTTTGGAGCCCCGAAGAAAGACATTCGTGGCCATCAATTTGTTTTGGATGAAAAGGTGCACGCCTGGGTACAATCATGGTTTTGTTGGCAACCGCAAATATTTTTCTATGAAGGCATTGATCATCTTGTCTTACAGTGGGATAAATGTATTAACAGTTATGGCGATTACTTTTGAAATAATGAACAGTTTACTTACTTTTTACCCATCTGTCTTGTTTTCACTTGACTGACCCTAATAATATACAAAAAATAAATTATTCTAACTAGAATCAAGTTCTTTTAATTCAATTTTCTATTATTTTTTTCATTTTCAATTTTCTGTTACATCATCATTTGTTGAAAGAGTTGAAGAAAGAGTGAAAAGAAAAGATGCATTTGTTTTAGATTCTGATAGGATCCAATCCTTTATTTTCTAATAACATGCATTTTAAATTGCTCTGACTATTCAACTTATTAGTTTAGAATAATTAATTCTTGAAATAATTATTTTTAAATATCAAAATGTTTGTTTATTGAACATTACTATTTAAAATATTTATCTATATAAAAAGACAAACAGAAAATATGAACTTTATTCAGTTAATATTTAATTATTAACTGTTTATTTCAGTTAATATTTAGTTAAACACTTTTTCCCAGAAATACAATAGGTATCCTAGTTGTAAAGGTGTAACATCTTTGCTCCAAAATTTCTGAATGCTCTCTAATGAAGCATATAAAGTACCTTAAGGTCTGAAATAAGGTTATGTGACCTCCAAAATCTGGTTGCTAATCACTTCTTGTCTTATCCATTTGAGATGAGGATGTACTGTACATGTGATTTGTACTGCTTTTTCATATATATTTTATGACACCTTTTTAATATGTATTTGTGTCTCAATAAAACCTGCTTATTGTGATTCTGCAAGAAATCTTTGATTGTCAATGTATTAGAAAACTGGCCAATGGAAGATTTGGCTAACAGACTGTTCTACTACCTTGAGCTCTATTAACAGGAATCTTACTAATGTAAAGCGTACAGGAGAAAATTGGGAACATAGGATAGTGCTCTCTTAAAGTGGACTACTATATTATCTAATGCTCCATTAAGAGGACTCCTCTGTATCTTAAAGATTGGAAATGCTCATTAGTAATAACAATACTGGATGCATTGTGTCACAACAGTCTTTTATTGTTTGTAATAAAATGCTGATATTATTTTGTAATTCAGTTCTCGCATTGGTTTTATATATATACAGTGATGAAATTCGATGTCAGTAAAATGAAATTTTGGGGACTGTCGAAATGTTTTTGTTATATTAAATATAGAATAAATATTTATACTGTAATAAAAAGTGTTATAAAGAATTTCATGAACAAACATCTAAAATAGTGATACAGTAATACTGATTACTTGGAATCCCGCCTCTCTAATTGTTTTTATTTCTGCTTGAACCCATTCTTTTACTAAAAGAAATCTGTAATTTTTGTTTGTGTTGTTTGTTTGATCAAAGTTTTTTCAATAAAATCCCATGACACAGCATTCCAGAATGTCATCAGGCACATCTTTTTGTTTGTCATCTGATATTTTTTTCTTCTCTTCCAAAGATAACTGCTTTTGTTTCTTTTTGTTTTTCTCTGTTTTTTCTTATAAACCTAAAATAAATAAGTGTAGAGTAATAGTATCAAAATGAAACCATAACTGAGGATTAAAATTAATGTTGCAAGTTGAACTAGATATTAACATTAATTATTTACAAAAAATGAATGATTTATGCATTAATAGATTTCATTATAATGAAACTATTCTTTCATAATAGAATTTTTTATGTTAAACTGAAATTTTTGTTATAATGGTATTCATTAAACTGAAGCATTTTTGTATTGAGCTGAACATAAAATTGACAGGGATTCAAGATAAATTTGTTATACTGAAAATTTCAGTAAATTGGCACTCATACTGACATTTCACTGTAAATATACGATTAATATCCACAAATTAAAGTATAAAAATATGAAAGAAACTAGTGAAACCACGTGATTTAATACTTCCATTTATCTTCAGAATAATGAATATTGCAAAATTGTCAGTTGTATGTCATGTATTGAAATAAGTATTTATACAGTCGACCCCCTATAAGATCATAGATACGTTCCATTCTTTAGGAATCTGATTTCTTATGAGTCCTTCCAATCACAGCCCGACATGTGTGAAGTTTACGGAGTACGGCTGATTGAAAGGTTTTCTTCCATAAAATTAATCGATTCTAGACTAATCCGACTCAACATTTCCAAAATATGTATATATTTTTTACCTTTTTTTACAGATACCGTCACAATTTTTTCGCAGTTTTATAGGAATCGTAATTATAGGGACCGTAATTATAGGGGGGTCGACTGTAATTATTATTTGTATTGATGACTTGTTACATAATTATGCCATCAATATCTCTTATATTAATAAGAGTCTGTTTTTCAGTAATATTTAAAGATCCTTATAAACCATGTAGATATTAATTACAATGATGTAATTTTCTTTTATTATAGACACCATTATCTAATGGTTTTTTTAAATTGAATGTTTATTTATATATACATTGATGTAAAATAATATAATTTTCTCATTGTTTCTTTACATTATTACATAATAAGTTCATATGTAAGTCTAACTTTTTATATTTACTCATTGATTTTAAATTATTCCAATAAATTTGCTTGTCCTTAAATATAGACACTATTTGCTAAGCATTGGGTATCGGTAAATGTTTATATCTGTATTAGTGATGTAACGAATATTCGGTTACTATTCGGTATTTGGCCTATTTTTTGCTATTCGGCCGAATACTGAATATTTAATCACTATTTAGCCGAATACTGAATACCTAAAAACAGGAGTAAGAAATAACAAAAACACAGCAAATTAATCATTTTGGTACTTAGATTTAATGTTATCGAGTTAGTGTTGTTTGTTTATATTTATTTATAACTTATAACATGCACAAAATTAAAAAGATAATAATATTAGTCACATGTATTCACAATTTATAATTACAAAGATCAGCACATGTACACACCTATTCATTCGAGAATCGTTGCACATCTGAGGATCTGACCCTGCCTATCCTTCTTTTTAAGTGCCTGTCTTTGCTCTTTCCTCTATCACTCTAGTCTACGTATGCCTATGCATATATCATAATACACTATGTTCATGATACTTTCGATTTGTCACTTTTCCATCGTAGATTTCCCATTTTACAATTACGTGACTCAGAGCCTGGTGATAACGGAGAAAAGAGACAGATAGGACATCGGTATAAGTCACAGTTATGATTTCACAGATTCGAGACAGCATGGTAGCCCGAACAGCCTCAGGCTTTCGCCTGTGCACGCTAAGTGACATTCATTACAAGCATTTAGCTTTCCGAAGTCTATGACAATAATTGTTTGGCATTGACGGCTCAACTTGTTCGATTATGTTATCAACTCAATTTCATATTTATTTTCACATTTTCATTTTGCGGTCCTTCTCTGTTCTTTTTCTGTTATTTACACATGTAGGTCGTTTCATTGTTATCCACATTTGATATCATCATTTATCATTTATCACATAATGCCATGACGCTCTTGTATGTCCGCCATAACTGTCAAGAATTAACGCGATTGGCGAAGCATAGTGATAGCGTGCAAATAAGAGCAGGGTCCTTGCCATAATGCGGTTTGGGCGTCAATTTTCGTCCGTGCGTTAATCAAGCCGAATAGTTTGGCCAAATATTCGGCTATTTGGCCATGTTCCTGGCCGAATATTGGGTATTCAGCCTGAGGCTGAATATACTATTCGTTGCAACACTAATCTGTATATCTATGCCTTCCGGGGTATGCGATGAGTGCCTTGAATGGATGTTTCTGGCTGAGGGCACAGGTGTGTCCCCAGATGGCATCGTATTAACCGTCGGTGGTTATTCATTAGGTTTATATCTACTGGAAGAGGAGATCTGACTGAAGATCCAGGTAGCATAACTGGCAACGTGTCCGCACAGTAAGTGAGAGTTGCGGGTTTGAGTCCCGCTTCGGGCCAATTCTTTTCTTCCAGTTTATTCTAAATTAATTAATTAAATATTATAATTATTGGCAAGACTATGTCTTGTTTATAAAATCGTACTGCCCGATTTTCTTACCAGCATAGAGGTATGAAGGAGTACTGTACATGTCGAGAGTTGATATTTGGCACAGATTATTAGGTTCCCAAATCATTTGCGCATAAAATAATCCAGACTTGTAGGTAGTCAGGGGACCGAGAATTGAATCAAAATAAAATACAAAATGGCGACCCTCTTCTTCAAACAGGCAAAACAGCCACCTCACCCCACAAAGTCAGGTAGGGGAGAGTACCACCCACAGTCATTCTAAGAAGTGAACTCTGACCTTAGGACTGAACACGTAGTTTCTTCTACGTTAAATAAAATTTGTAATCTAATTTTGTAAATTTGGGAGTGCTTCAAATATGACGTTAAAACAGTTTTATGTCGTTAAAAGTGGTTTTTTTTTTTAAGATTATCTAGTATAGTAAAATCATAGGACTGATAAAAATTTGATGTTATATTAGGGTTGTCGTTACATTTGTGAGATCCGAAAGGCCCTGGGTCTAATTTGTGAATTTTTATTAAATATGTTTAAATATAGACACGAAATATTACTTCGTTTTTGTGAAAAAAATATTGTTTTAGACGTGGGAAAAGCCAGATAACAAATGTTATTTCCTTTCATCGAAGAGAACATCCTCTGTTTTTCCGTATCTGGTTAAAAATCTCGCTCAGATGGGAAATGGTTACCCCTCATTCATCCCCCTTTCGTCCGTTCTCGCGAAAGAGTTACTGGACGTTGATTGGTCAAAATTTAGGAGATATAAGGGAAATTAGTCAGAATTCGGGGAGTTCTTCGACAGATCTGAAGCATCTAAACTCCACGCAGTTTTCCTCCTGATGGCCAACGCCCTAAACGGAGTCTGATAGACTAAGTCCCGAGTCTACACTTAGAAGAAGTGATATTTTTATATTTTTGTGCACGAATTGATCTCCCGTATGAAAGTAATATGAACCCTATCTACAAGGTGTCCTCTACCTACAGAAACGAAGACGACGACAACTAACAGGTCGTATGTTTAGAATCATTTTGTGAGCTCTCTCTCTCGAACGCGCATTAGCATAGGTTAAGTCGTAACCTCTAGCTTGTCGTTTACTTGTTGTTATCGATTATTTGTATTCGTTTGTTTGGATTTATTAAATTTACTCTTGTTTTATTTTATAAGAATGTCTCCTCAATTTATTCCGAATCAGATCGCAAACGCGTGTTAATCCGCGTATAATAAGTTTGATTAACTGGTGTCAAGGAATCCTGACGAACGTCTGAGCTTCTCGTTCAGTTCATTTTAAAATACGCTCTTCTATGTAAGCTTTTTACGATCGGATCTTACGATTCGAAACTCGGAGAACTATTCTCACGGAATAGGCCGATTAAGTGGTACTAACGAATTAGTGTACCCCCGGCTGATCTCACACATTCGATGACATTATAATCGGGTTAAATTGTATATTGTTTTTTGCAAAATAAAAAATAATTTCGGACGATACAATAGCCATGACTATTTTTTTCAAAAATGGGAACTTTTAATTACACATCACAAAAATTCAGCCTGGGCCGACATGCAACGTAGAGAAATTTCAAAATTAGATAGGTTAATTTGATCGAAGATGCATCGTGGACGATCTCGTGGTCGTGGCTGGCGAAGTTTGAACGATCACGCCCAAAAGCAGTGATATCAAAGAAGATAAGAGAATGAGAATGAGACCTGCCTTGAGCATCAAAGTGATTCCGTCTCTGAGACATAGTCTTGTCCTAAATACGGTTTTGCCGTTTTACATGTTAAATTTAATATGAGATGGCACCTAATGCCTCCCTCTAGTGCCAAATTTATTTATAATTCCTAATTAATATTTCCAAATTATAGCCTGATTTTTTATGGCAATCATGGGTGTCTATTTGCTAAGCATTGGGTTTCGGTAGATGTTTATATTTGTCCTTAAATAAAACTTGTATAGTAGACCCCCCATAACACAGGTTCATATAAGACGGATTTGTATAACACAGCGGAAAAATTGTGATCGTGTTCATATAACATGCTAGAAGAGGCTCGTATAACACTGTAAAAGAATGAGACAGGTTGTCGCGGCCAACTCATGTCTCAAAAGGATTGGTCAAATCTGGACCAATAGTGGACATTTCACAAACTATTAAGTTTAAACGTGCAGCGGACCTACTAAAAAACATTTATTATTCAACGGCCATAAAAATTATATTTCTATTAATAATGTCTCAAAAGTTCAGCAAATTTTTCGCAGAAAGAATAACTTATCAGGAAACATCCGACCGCCGTCCAATGAGCCGCTCTGTGACAAAAACAAGCTTAAGCAATGGCGTCTTCAAATAGTGCGCACTCGTTAAGTATTCCTACAATTTTTTGTTTATAGTGTAATTTATATAGATTATTCCAAAAAAATTATACATGTTTTGGAAATGTTCAAGTCAAATTAGCCTAGAATCAATTAATTTTATGGAAGAAAACCTTTCAAACAGCCATACCCCTAAACTGCACAAGTGCTGGGCTCACGTATTTGTAAAATATAAGTGACTAATACAACACAGAACATATCTACCGTGTTATAGGGGGGTCTGCTGTATCATTAATTTTATTGATTAATTAATATCTTCTCAAATTTTTGTTTTCATATAATTGATATATGGATCAAAAAAATTTTTTTCTCTGTTTTCTTTCTTAGTATCTATAATTTTTTTTTCCTCCTTCTTCTTCTTTTTTTAGAATCTTTTCTTTTTCACTTATGTTAAAATAGCATGTTCTTTCCATGTGTATTAATTTATCATTTGTTTTGTAAACTGTTGTTATTTTAATCATGTTTTAATATTCGTAAGTTTGAAAAATGGCTCATTTTCATTATTCAGTATTCTGAAATTCGTATTTAATAAACAATAAATTCACTTTTTTAGAATAATAAAGTCAATAATAATTGTTTTGTTCAGAACTCAAAAACTAAAGATTTAAAAACCATAATCATATTTAAGAATCATAAATATTAAAAATATAAATCTCATTTATGTGAAAAATAAATTTTGATATTTCAAAGTTAAAATGAGGATTTCTATTAACAAATTTACTTTGCTTTTCAAAATAGTTTTGATTCAAGCTTCTATTTACAGAATAAAATTTGGAATAAAATGTAGAAAAGAAGAAATATAAGAATTTTTCTATATTTATTTGATTTTGTAACTTCTATTATTATTACTCTAAATAAATCATTTTGTTACTGATGTTATGATTAGATAGGAATGGTTGTATGATGGAATGAAATTAATTTTCTGATTTTTTAAACTAGGTACAGGTGCTTGTTGTATTTATCCTCTTCTTGGTTGCAAAGTGAAAAGTTGGAAATTTTTAGCAACTGAAATTAATGAAGAGTCATTTGATTGGGCAATTAAAAATATCAATGCAAATAATATGCAGAATCAAATAAAAGGTAATTTTCTTATTTTAAGATTTATAATAAATAATCACTAAATTTGGTTACCAGGTTTTTTGATTGCAATTTATATAATTAAAAAACTTCTTTATTTTCTGATTTTGTTAACATGTTGAAAAATAGAAAAACTTGAATATTTCTTATAATTTAATCTGCTAAAAAATTTAGTAGCATAAACAACAAAGTAAATTTTTGGATTAAAATAGTTAAAGTTTTTTAATGGATATGATTTTGTGAGCAGCTTGGGGCCAGCGGTCAATTTTCCCTGTCCACTTATTCGGCACGAGTAGTAAAAGCCATTCTCAATGTCTAGAATGGCTTACAAATTAAAGTAGATTAAGATCTTTGTAGCTTAATCTAGTCAGGACTGACACCTGTTAAACTGTTATTTAGAATCATGGTTTAACTCACGATTTATTATGAGTTAAACCTTTGAACTCAGCGTATTAAAATCTGGAGTTTGAAGTTGTCAAACACCACAGAGTATGAAATCCTGGCTATGAATCCTGGCACTTAATTGATACTCTCGTGAACTATCAACAACCCCTTGTCCTTGAATCACTTCTTTTTATACCTCCAAATCACATTATTTTTTCCCACCAATCAAGAATTTTTGATAGTAGTTCCCAGTGACACATCTGATGAGTTCCCTGTGAAAGGAAATGACTCCGGAGAGAGATGTGATCATTCTCCGGTAATAAAAACTGGGGAAAATTTTTGAAAGATGAAAAACGAATTTTCTCTCAAAATTCTTAGGTCCAGTTCCTCACAATTTTGTAAGGAGAGGAAATCATTGAAAATTTTATTTATTTATTTGAAAATAAAATATTTAATTGCTAGATTTAATAATTTATAAAACAGTTCATCTTATAAATGGATATTCATACTCTCATAGACTCTCACTGTTTTATTGAAAAGAATCATGTGATGCTTTTCTAAGTTCAATCTTAATTTATTTTAGTTTCTTTATAAAAAAAAAATTTAACAAACCGATTTATAATTCAAACTTTTGTTAGAACTATTACTTAAATTGTATTGGACTAATCTAAAATATGAATTATTTATAGAACAATAACCTTAATATTTAACCAGTATTTTTTAATAATTTTTTTTCATAAAATACAATGTATTAATAAATATTTATAAGAAAAATAATTTATAATAAAAAGTTTCAAGTACAATTAATAACTATATTTTCATTTTGACTATCTATTATAATACTTCTCAATGTCAGATGTAGTAGCTATTATATACATCAGCGATTCCCAACCTGTGGTACGAGTACCCCTAGGGGTACGCGATAGGTTGTTTAGGGGTACAGAAAAAAGTTAATTATTATGGCAGAAAAAATAATATATTATGTATCACAAACTAATAGTATTAAAAAATTATTAGATAAAA